TACTTGAAAAAAACCCAGTTATAAACAAGTAATGATGCAATCCTTTAAATCTTAACTCTTGAGTGTAGCAGAATTCAATGGATGTAAAATTATTATCATGTCAGATGTAACATTTTATTTAATGTGATAGAAATCAAGTAACACCAGTGACATACACAAGACCAAAGATCCTTATTTTTCAACTAAAATTAAATATATACGAATACGACTAAATTGTTACATTTGGCAATTAGAGAAAGCCGTTACTTAAAGAACATAAACATAAACTGATCTTCACTGGTGTTACCCATAAGAAAGGTAACACCAGTGACAATTTTCATGAAAAATGCATTTTACAAAATGTCTGCTGCAAGGTATCAAACCACATGTCGTCAATCATACTCACTACATTAAGTAGTTTAAAGGGGTCATATGATGCGATTTCAAGTTTTCCTTTGGAGTGTTACAAGCTGATTGTGAATAGATAAGATCCCTGAAGTTGCAAAGACTAAAGTCTCAAAACCAAAGAGATATTCTTTATCAAAGTTAAGACTCTGCCACGCCCCCCTAAAACGCCTCGTTCTAACACACCCCACATATCTTCCTCACTATGTGGAAATATTAGCATAATGCGCCCAAATGTTCACGCAAAGAAAGAAGTCGTGGTTTCAGTAACCGCAGTTAGTGTTGAAGCAGCATGTCAGGGAGACGCTGTGTGTTTCTAGGAGAAAGCAAAAGCACTTTATTTGGCCTTCCGAAAGTAGATGCATTTAGGAATCTTTAAGATGACTTACAACAGAACAGCAATGCATTTTATGGACGACCGTTTCGTGAACCTAGGAGAGGAGGTAATTCTGACTTTGCTATGACAATCTGGCGCTTCTGAACCAGCTACTGTTCAATAGCTACGTACAGTATTTGAAAAATAATGTGTTTTTTTGAACATTAAAGCATGTCAACATATTCTGTTACACCAAATACACAAAATAATGATCTTTAAAAAAGCATCATATGACCCCTTTAATCCATTTGTATTCTAGTTTTTTACAATTCCCTAACAATAAAGTAGGTCATAAAAGTGACAACTCCAGGGGACCACTACTTTCATTATATATTTTATAATATTTATTTGGCTTTTTTTTTTTAATGTCATTTACATGATATATATGATAGTTACGAATACATTGTATTTTAAATGGTAGAAAAAACAGTTTTTGATCTCAAAATAAAGCACTTTCCCTCTGTACATGGCTGTGGGGACGAGCAGTTTTGTGGTGCTTGGAATTCTATATAATGAATTAAAAACCAATATTGCCACATTGATGGCTCAAGAAGGTGTAATTGTTCAAATAACACATTGTTTTATTTTAAAATATATATATAAAAAATTGTAACCCTAAATTTGAGAGAGGCGGGGCATAGAGGACCTACAATAATGTACAGTATTTGAAAAATAATGTGTTTTTTTGAACATTAAAGCATGTCAACATATTCTGTTACACCAAATACACAAAATAATGATCTTTAAAAAAGCATCATATGACCCCTTTAATCCATTTGTATTCTAGTTTTTTACAATTCCCTAACAATAAAGTAGGTCATAAAAGTGACAACTCCAGGGGACCACTACTTTCATTATATATTTTATAATATTTATTTGGCTTTTTTTTTTTAATGTCATTTACATGATATATATGATAGTTACGAATACATTGTATTTTAAATGGTAGAAAAAACAGTTTTTGATCTCAAAATAAAGCACTTTCCCTCTGTACATGGCTGTGGGGACGAGCAGTTTTGTGGTGCTTGGAATTCTATATAATGAATTAAAAACCAATATTGCCACATTGATGGCTCAAGAAGGTGTAATTGTTCAAATAACACATTGTTTTATTTTAAAATATATATATAAAAAATTGTAACCCTAAAGTGTTTTTCAAGTGTAATATTTCTGTAAAGGCTAGGGACAGAAAAAACATGGACATTTCCACAGAATGACCCTGTGCCCTTTTGGAGCTTATCTGCTGGTCATGACAGAAAAGAGAGATACATCTAAAAGTAGAGAAGGGCTTGTTTATATTGTTTAGCCCGGTCTTTTCTGTTTTTATACTGTGTATCAAAAAACTTTAGACCATGCCTTCTTTCACACTAAAATAAAAAAAAAACCTAACCGATAAGTTTAGTTCAATTCAAACAACACACGCTCTCACATTTAAAGAAATCTCAAAGCTTGCAGCTCTACACATGCGGTCATTCATTCAGCTTGACCAGAACGCTCGAATAAAACAATAACATTTTCTAATTAAGCTGCAGAAATGCATCAATGCTAACAAATGAGAACGTACACTTTTTTTATTTTATTTAGCGATACATTAAGAGAATCATTTGTTACTCAACAATGACCATAACCAGTGTTGGGGAAAGTTACTTTTAAAAGTAATGCATTACAATATTGCGTTACTCCATAAAAAAGTAACTAATTACGTTACTTAGTTACTTTTTATGGAAAGTAATGCATTACGTTACTTTTTAAATCTGGACTGGGCTTGCTTGCTTGTTTTTAATATAAAAAAGTTATATTTTTGGCAAATATAAAAGCCTTTCACACCAAAAGTGAAATGAATAAGCCTCAGGCAGAAGGGAAAGGAAATGTACGTCGGTACAATAGAAAGCAGAAGAAGACATTTCAACACACTTCAGCAATAAACAAAGACACACAAATGTTTGTCTAGAGTAATTTGTGCTTATTAGTACGCTTGAACTGGATCATCGAAGCTCAGAAGCAAAGACATTGGTTAATAGAATGGGATTAAATACATAAAGCATATTTGTGTTGTTTAACATTTAATTATTGCAGGTTTGCGTCATATTCTGAGTTGCATTATTTTTATTCATTTTGAGGAATACTGAATCTGTGTTTTTTTGTGTGGGTGTGAGTGAGATGAATTAATGCATATTCATATTTATTTTAGAACTACAGTAACATCTGATTTCTCTCAACATGGGGACAGGAGAGCTGTCAATCAATACATTGGAAAAAAAAGTAACTTGTGTCACTTATTTGAAAAAGTAACTCATATATTCTCTTGTAAATAAAAAAGTAATGCGTTACTTTACTAGTTACTTGAAAAAAGTTATCTGATTACGTAACTTGTAATAGGTTACCCCCAACACTGATCAAACCATCGAAAATAAATGCCAACATGTCCAAAAAAATAAATAAAAAGAAGAAAAGTCAGACCTTGTAAAGCACTGTTCACAGATGAATCCTCTCTCGTTGACAGACAGTACGTATGAATAAGCAGGACACGAGAACAGCAATTCACCGACTCCACACGCTCTGCTCAGCCGCAGTCCTCTGCCCTTCCCTGGGCTGTCAAACTGCTCAATGCCCGCGATGCCCTCCGACTCCATCATGACACACTAACCTAGCTCTTAACGCTAGTCCGCACCGGTGTTCAGAAGTTTTGAGGTTTCTGAGATTTTTGATATAAATGGGTGGCGCATATGAATATTTATGAGTTTCCCCAACAAGCACTTGGAATTGTCCACGCCCGAGTCTCAGAATTTATTTCGGGAAGGTAATAAATTTACTAAATATAATTTTTATTAGAAAGTAATCAAGTTTAAGCGTCACGTATGCCTAAATTACAAATCGTAACACTTAGTTGTATAGTTTGTAATGTTGTTTAAGTATGCATGCTGCAACCGTCTTGCAAGTCAAGCACAAAACGGTTTTTCGTGGATCAAGTGACACGCATGGCTTCTTTTAGAGTCTGCTCTTTTTTTAGAATTTCTCTCCACTGTTTTTGTCTTGCACGAATCCACCTATAAATATAGCATGCCACACGTTACTCTCCAAATAGATCAAGTTGTATGCACCTGGTACATCTATTACTTTGCAACGGTATGTTTTATAGGCCTATGTAATGAAACTAAATATCCAGTACCTCCACACTTTGTTTCGGGCCTCTAGGGATTTCATTAAAGAGTTGTGTTCGCCTGTGCTTTTAATGAAACTGTATGAGAAGGTTTTAGGTTAAGAATTAGCACTTAAAAAAAAAAAGATTAATTCATTCTGCAGGCTTTTCAACTCGATGAATGCAATGTTAATATTAAAATGCCATTTAAGAATCAATATCAAGTTTAAGCAGCAAAACCCATTGGTTTTGGTTATTTTGCAATAATTTGCTCTTAGACAAAACGCTTGGTCTTCAAGTTAATTTAATTAATTTATAAAAACTGTAACAAGTAACAATCCCGAAGCTTTTATTAGGCATAACATTTTTTTTTTTTTTATGATTGAGGTGAAGAGTAAAAAAAAAAAAAAAGATAGGACCATAGAGCTACATGTCATTAAAACGTGCTTGTTGCTATTAAAACTTGGCCGTTGGCCTTTGAGGGGGCAGAAGAGGGAGGCCAACTATATCTCCTCCTAGCATCTGACCTTTTATCTTGAAAGGCAAACTAAAATGTTATTTGGAGAAGAACCATATAGCCCCAAATGGTCAGAAGGACATCCTCTCAGAGCTCTAAATCTTGTTTAAAGTTTGTGAACTGCTTTCGGGAAAACCGAAACATTTCCAACCCCCCCACCCCCACCAACTATACACAAATAAGTGTGCATCCCATCCAATAAAAGACGCAAAACTTAACAATGCTGAATTGTTGGGCAGCATGTTCTCCTCATAGGCTCGGTTTTTGTTAAACATATACGGTTGCTGATCTTCCAATGGTTGTGAAATGACAATTCAACCATTCCTCTTTTGTATTATCTGACTATTTTATCTAAGAATGACTTTAATTTGTTGACATGCTTGCTCTTTAACATTCCAAGCAAGACGGCTTGTTCCTTTGAAGCAACCAGAGCATTTAGGCTACTTCACTCCTCTCTAAGGACTTTCTTGGGTTGCTAGCGGTTTGCTTTTGGCAAGAATAGCTGCTTAGGTTGCGATGGGCTCAGCAGTTTGGGTAGAGCTTGGTATCTGTTCCACCAAAGGAATATACAAATATACAGGAGCAGATGTAAAGAAAGTCTGTCCAAAACAAAGTTTATACAACACTTAAGACTTATAGTGGAAGAAAAAAAATCTTTAATTCTGGCAAACAATAAACAACCCCCCAAATATTACTTCGGTTTTAAAAACAGACATCCAAAAGAAATCAGCAGCCCATGATGTTAATGGCTTTTCTGTACAGTGTCCACCCTTTTCCATTGAACTGTAAACGATCAGTAAATGCCAATGAACTTGCTCTTTGAATTCAATAAGCATTTTCATAAATTTCACATTCTCCTCAATCATCGAACATCTAAGTGAACAATTTTTGCACATCAGGCTGTGCTGTATTGTGAATGCAGTCTAGGCATTACACAAATCAGTCCTTACATATCAAAAATCACTGATCACAAATTAGGCATTATAATGACAGTTATTGACATACTGCAGCATTACTGTCAGGTCTGTTTGCAAAGCCTGCAACAAACTAGTGTACCAAAAAATATTCAGTGAATGAAAAAAAAAAAAAAAAAACTCAACTGAGAAATGCTCATGTAGTTGAAAATGAACAGCCACTTCTCTAACATTGGGATGCTCTGGAAGGTCATGTACATTTTAGTCCAGTGATCCTAGCAAAGATCTGAGAGAAGCCCAAATGTCAGAGAGATTTTTTACATATCTCAACATATCTCTTTTGCAACTTAAAGTCCTGTAAAGTGAAATGTGTTTTGACTGTAACTGACAACTGATGAAAAGTCACCCGCAAAAGAACATTAGCAAGTATGGCTTCAGTTTGGAAAAAGGCTCACCCGACTTGCTTGGACATAAGAAATAAAAAAAAGAAAATTCAGTGTAATGCCTATTTAAGGTTTCCTCTGAGCTGTACTGGGTCGAGAAAGAGAATAGCTGGAGGGAAATTTACTTCATAAAGGTACTTCTATACATAGATGTGGATTATTGGTAGCAAAATGGTCACACTGTTGGTTTGATTGTGTAAACGAAGTTGATTTTATTTCACTGTTGTAAAACGCATAAGCAGTGTTGACCTTAAAGTGTAAAAAAAAAAAACAGTAAACTTATATCACTTTCAGAATCTGTACACTAATGCACGTTATACATAACTTTATACAGTTATTTTATGTACTCTATCAATTACTGTACATTTGTTTTTTGAAACAAAGGTTATAAAAATAACCTCTGTTGTTACATGCAATTGAAACGACGATATCGAATATATATGAAACTTTGATGGCCAAAAGTACCACATCTTTTTTTAGTAAATGCACTTAAAAAAAAAAAAAAATAATAAAAGGAAAAAAATGTCCTTAAAGGGCGATGCAGTAAAAGGGGTCAGAGAATCTCTCCCTCGCACTGCTTTGCTTTGAAACGATTGTGAACGTATTGGGAAGAGTGCTATAAAATACATTTGACATCGGAGTGTTCTCCACTACAAAAATACTAGTCCTACAATACTAAATGTGTTCCTCTTGTGAAGGAATGCAACCTGCCGGCGAGACAAAATAGTCACGCAGAAGGTTTCGTTGCATTTCTGCCGTAGCTAATGCATTGTGCTCCTCTCTTTGCTCGAGCGGCTGGCAAGTCCCATGCCCTCGATTCCTCCAGGTTCCCTCAACTATGCTGTGGTCCCCATTCTTCAAATCTGCAAATGCTGGAGGTGTATATGCCTCGGACCTGCGCTCGCGGAGGAAGTTATGGATGCATAGAGAGGCCATAGTGATCTTCTCCACTTTGTCTGCCTCCAAGAATATGGTGCTCCTGAAAACCCTTAACCTGTTTGCTAGAATGCTGAATGCATTTTCTGCAACTCTAAGTGCCCTTGAAAGACGATAGTTCAGTACCCCCTGACTGTGGTCCATCTGTTTATTTGGGTATGGCTTCATGAGATCAGGCCTTAAAGGATGAGCCTCATCACCCACAAACATGTACGGCATTGTTATGTCACTGTTGGGCAATGGTTCAGGTGGAGGAAAATTCAGCAGACCCTGATCCATCGCTTTACACAAGTCGGAATGAGCGAATAGTGTAGCATCAGAGACCTTATCTTGGGTTTCCAAACTGGCACAGATGAACTTGTAATTTGCATCCACAGCAGCCATTATTGTCACATATAATCGGCCCTTGTTATTATGGTCAAGGCAGCCACTTTTTACTGGAGGCTGTATATAAATCTGTTTTCCACCAAGCGCACCTAGGCAATGTGGAAATTGCCATTTCGATTCAAAGTCCTGAGCTATTGCCCGCCATTCTGTCTCTGTTGATGGTGTCTAGCAATAAAAAAAAGAAACAGTTAAGACAAAGATTTGTACACTGATTCTTATATACTGTATTTCTCACATGTGATTAAAAAAATGCAGTACTGTGAAGGTAACGACATCCATAACATTGTATTTTGAATAAAGAATGACAAAGCCAGTATATTATATTATGCACAATGTATAGATACCTCTTGCCTGTGACAGAATTATGAAGTTTGAAATTTGCTATATATGCTAAACAATGCATATGAAAAATATTTGATTCATCCCATCGCAAAGTCTTTTAAATCCTTTTCTTTTTGTGGTTTAATATATTTAGTTATATCTTTATTTTATTTTCCCCTTAAGTTCATGCTTCTCTTCACCCAGTTAATGTTCTGAATTAGCTATTTTACTACACAAGTATACATGTGTTGTAAATACTGTAAATATCTGACCATCTTGCGAAAAACGTTAATTTTATATGACTTTATAAGTTAATCATTTACATTAATAAACTGCACTTTACACTAATTTAACATTTATTTTAGGCTATAATACTTTAGACTATTTTAGTAAGGATAGTTATAAAGATAAAATTAGTGGTTTTCATTGGGACATTATTAGTGTTTCTGAATGAATTGTTTCACTGATGCCCACAGTTTCATTTTGTTAAAGAGTCACTGTTTTGAGCCAATGCTTTAATGAGTCACTAATACATAAAACAGATGCTCATTTATTGTCATTGACTGGTGTAGACCTACAGAAATAGAGTCAAAGATTTAATGACATGATTGTCGAGCACTTACAGTATTTATGTTGCTTTAAATAGTATATGATTATGTTCATACATATTTTAACATATAATAAAAAAATATTCAAACTTCATTTGGATGCTGTCTACACATTGCATGTGCAATATAATATAGCCATGTCTTAATGCCACACTGTCATCCTTAATTCAAAATAAAATGTTATTTATTAATGTCGAGTCTTTGTTATTTATCATTTCAATTTCTGATAATCCCAGGTTGCTATGATTGTTTACACATTAAAAGTTGTTCCCTCAACATATGATCTTCGAATTGCATGGTCACGATACATTATCACGTCCCAACAAGTTCAAATGTCGATGTCACAACAAAATGAAATAAACCCAAAACGTCCCTTTTGTATTAAAATTATTTAGTAGTTTATTACTGCAGCAGATGTTTATGGTGGAACTCATCTCACTGAAAAGCACCAAGTACCGTATTGTCCCGAATATATAATATATTTTTTTCTTGGAAATACATCTGAAAAAACGCGGTCGTCTTATATTCAGGGTCTAGACTTTGACATGTCAATAATACATCCACAACAATAGGTGGTGCCAAATATGCATAAAACCAGTGTGCCATGAAATACGTAATGTAATGCGTGTTGTAAAGATCGAGAGTAAAAACAAAAGAAAAAGAAAAGCTTACAGCTGCATGAGTCGTGACTGTCACGTTAGCCTGATGGGACCAAACTCCCTTTGTGATTTTAAAACGTAAGACAGTACCCAGATTTGAAGACTACAGTAAGATTGAACTTCTACTGTTAATACGATTGTGGTAGGCTACTATTAGACGGATAGCCTAAATGTCCTAATTCAGATGGGCTACCGTTTTTTTTTTTTTAATGGGATATCAAAAAGTGTATATTTTTTAATGTGATTGTTGGTACATTTTACCAGTTTTTACCATACTTTCAAAACATAAATTCAAATAGGAAAAATATGCAATATGAAAATAATTGAAGAAAAAATGTGTTTTACTGAGAAAAAACTAGATTTGGTTTTTAAAATGCCTTTTTCCAAAAGGTACATCTGGAAAAAGGGGGGTCGTCTTATAATCAGGGTCGTCTTATATTCGGGCCAATACGGTAATAAATGTGCACTGTACTTGAGTAAATGGTGGTAATCAGAGCTTACCTTCAGGAAGTCTTTTTTCATAAGCTGGTACAGAGCGCCACAGGTCTCCATAACTATCTGTGAAATAGTGCTGGCCCCAATCCTGTACTGTGCACTGAGGGAACTGAATGTTTTGCCTGCATGCAAAATAAATTACAAAATGCACACTCAAACAGACCCTTAAAATGGATAATAGTTAAAGCAGTAGCTATTCTGATATCGCCCTGGCAGACCCACCTGTTGCCAAAAACCGCAAGGTCACAGATAGGCGATCTCTTGGGGATATCGCCCGTCTCATTTTTGTGTGCTGCTTGGTAATGACGGGCCCGACCATCCGCAGCAGAAACTCAAACTCCTCTGCGGTCATCCGCAGCAGCTCCCCGAACCCATTCTCATCAGTCATCTATCACAGATGCAAACAGGTAAGGGGGGAAAAGGTGAGAACATTGCATGGATCGGGGGCATGCTCCACATGCAATTTCTTTTAAAAGATATTTGCTTTACATGCTCATTTATAGTTAGTTTAAGGCAGGGGTGCCCAACCCTGTTCCTGGAGATCTACCTTCCTGCAGAGTTCAGCTCCAACCCTGATCAAACACAACTGAACCAACTAATTAGGATCTGAAGGAGCACTTGTTAATTACAGACAGGTGTGTTTGATCAGGGTTGGAACTGAACTCTGCAGGAAGGGTGATCTCAAGGAACAGGGTTGGGCACCCCTGGGTCAAGTTATTTTTTTTTTCGGTCCAAAACTAATTTTTCACACACAAAAAAAGTAACATCTTGTTGCAACATTTTACAAAAATCAAGATCTAATATATTTGGTCAAAATACCATGTTATAAAAGATGAAGTGCTATGCAGGCTATTTAAGACAATATTGGCTGATTACATTTAGCAGACGCTTTTATCCAAAGCGACTTACAAATGAGGACAATAAAAGCAGTAAAAACTAACAAAAGAGCAACAATATATAAGTGCAAATGACAAGTCTCCGTTAGCCTAATGCAGTACACGTAGCAAGGTGTGTGTGTATATATATATATATAGATGATAAATATAGATAAAGTAGAATTAAAATAGAATAGAAAGTGCTACAGTTAGAGGGTCAAATAAGGGTGGAACAGATGTGTTTTTAGTCGATTCTTGAAGATAGCCAAGGACTCAGCTGCTCAGATTGAGTTGGGCAGGTCATTCCACCAGGAGGGAACAGTTAATGAAAAAGTCAGTGAAAGTGATTTTGTGCCTCTTTGGGATGAACAATAAAGCGACGTTCACTTGCAGAACGCAAGCTTCTAGAGGCACATAACTCTGAAGTAATGAATTTAGGTAATGGGGTGCAGAGCCAGTGGTGGTTTTATAGGCAAACATCAATGCCTTGAATTTAATGCGAGCAGCTCCTGGTAGCCAGTGCAAATTGATGAACAGAGGTGTGACATGCATTCTTTTCGGCTCATTAAATTAATTGATTAGACGGCAATGCAGACCTAAAATGTTTGCCCTCACTCTCTTCACCGTTCCCACATCTCAGACCTCAAATACATAAAATCTACCTTTTCATAACTGAATTTAAAAAAGTTATGAGCGGTCTTGAAGAAAAAAAAAATTGATGACTAACGTTTTAAGACTAGTCTAAACCGTTTATGCAACCGCCCCCAGTTCTTTATTTACCATCTTTCTATAGCTTGACAGGGCTATAGCTAGGGATGGGTATCGAAACCCGGTATTTAAAGGGGTCATATGATGCGATTTCAAGTTTCCCTTTCTCTTTGGAGTGTTACAGGCTGATTGTGAATAGATAAGATCCCTGAAGTTGCAAAGACTAAAGTCTCAAAACCAAAGAGATATTCTTTATCAAAGTTAAGACTCGTTCTAACACGCCCCCACATATCTACATCACTATGTGGAAATATTAGCATAATGCCGCCAAAATGTGCACGCAAAGAAAGAAGGCGTGGTTTCAGTAACCGCAGTTAGTGTTGAAGCAGCATGTCAGGGAGACACTGTGTGTTTCTAGGCGAAAGCAAAAGCACTTTATTTGGCCTTCCGAAAGTAGATGCATTTAGGAATCTTTAAGATTACTTAGAACAGCAATGCATTTTATGGACGACCGTTTCGTGAACCTAGGAGAGGAGGTCATTCTGACTTTGCTATGACAATCTGGCGCTTCTGAATCAGATACTGTTTTGTTATTAGTTTAAGTATTTGCTATTGACTGTTCAAATGCGGAGTTTTGCGCATCGTGTGTGTGTGTGCGCGCGCGTGCGTGTGTGTATGTATGAGAGAGAGACAGCGTCACATCACAGTGGAGTCAGCTGTCTTAACAGTGGCTTGTGTACTGCAAGAGAGAGAGGGGCGTATAGGACCAACAATAATGTAGAGTATTTGAAAAATAATGTGTTTTTTGAACATTAAAGAATGTCAACATATTCTGTTACACCAAATACACAAAATAATGATCTTTAAAAAAGCATCATATGACCCCTTTAATCGGTCCCAGGGCTAAATTATGAAAGACCGGAGTATCGATAAACTCTGACATTAACGGTTCTGTTATCGGTACTGGAGAAATTAATAAAACACACATACATTTATTATTGCTATATATATATATACACATTATTGTAGCGTCTGGACCAATCAAACACACAATTGTTCATTTGATTTAACAAATCAGTTATTCATTAGATTAACAAATCGTCACAGTCCCCTCACCCAATAAACTGGGTGCCAGGATGTCTGCAACGACACCAGGCCCCCCTGGTCCCCATGGCAACTAATGCTGATATCACTGGTTTTATGACCCACAGCAATGCGAGTAGGGAAAATCACTACCTTTTTATAGGAAGAGACACAATGCACAGTAGAAATGGACTTTTCTCTAATTAATCCATAGGAAAACCTTTCTTTGAATGAACACATATCCTTCAGGTCATCGTGTATGTTGTCTTTTTTTTATGTTCAGATTTTATACTGTTTTATGCAGGCTTATGATGGAAACACTCATTCCTGTCATCTTGCCTATATGTAATCCTACCATGTTTAGTATCTATGAATTCGCCTTCTGATAATCTAAACGAGAGTGTATATTATATGTTGGTACATAGGCAATATATTAGTGTCCTGAGAATCTTTAGTAATTTCGATTCAAGTGCCATATGCAAATTACCATGCTTCCACACAAAGAGTCATAAAACTCCCCAGGTATTTCCAAACTCCCACCCATTCATTCCTTATTTCTCTCCTTTTTACTGCCTAAACCTTAACTCCTTTTCTTATACCAACTGTATGCGTGTGTGTGTGTGTATGTTAGACTAGTTTAAGTGTTTATGTAGTTAATAAAGTCTTACTTGTATCAAACTTGACGTTGTTCATTTTAATGCTACAAGCTCGGTGTAGAATTGTACAGTAAGAAAGTTATTTCCCTTAACCAGGAAATTAACGTTCTTAGAATTGACAAGACAGTTGACCCTGAGAGGTCAAGTAAATATCTACAGCGGATCTAAATATAACTAGTTATGATTAATTATTCATATTTCCCTATGAGCTGATTCGCTACATTATCTTGCAAATTCTATCTCACCAGAGTCGCCAGCTGTTTTTCAAACATTTGTCTATGATGCATTTTTGCTATTCGCAATTCAGAAGCGAGATCGCGCTCACACGGAAGAGCCTCAGCACGCGCAACATGAAAGCCCGGTTTAATTATGATAGAAGAGAGAACTAAACATTCAAACATCTGCTTACACTTTAGGCCTGTGGCGGTTTTAAGCTAATTTTAGTAAGAGATTTTAATTTTTGATTTTGGCTTCTAAGGATTATACAAAAGAATACATGAGGTAAAGCTATTAAAAACTAGCTGCATTTCGTCTTGCGCAACTTCTTTCCCTTCACAGCGGTGCGCACTCGTTCCTCCCTAAAACCCAAGCTTAATGTCAGAATCAGCTCAGTCGTGATTGTTGTAAGATGCTGTCTTTACCGTTGCTAAATTGCGGGGCATGTTTGATAAAAACGTTGAAAGCACAATCCGCACAAGAGACGCTGTTCCTCAGGCCGAAATGTGTGCGCATGGCGCGCTCCAAAACGGACAAACAAATTACACTTTGAGCTTCGGGCGCATGTCCAAATGATCAAATACACACTAAATATGTCCAAATGGCCGGCTTGGAGAGTATTTACTTAAACACAGTTTATGTCTTAAGTGGAGGAGAACAGTTGGGAGAAAATCCGATGTGTGTCAATATATTGTCTTAAAGTGACAGACTGGCGCTTGGGCCATCAAAATGCAAATCTGCACTTAATCTGAATAACGTTATAGCTTTAATAAGCATTAATCTATCAATACATACAATGAAAACTATGCAGTGTTAATTTACATTTGATTACTTTTAGATTTCTTTTGTAGGCTATTACTTACCTGAACAGTAATGTTAGAATAACTTCATGGAAAAATGACAGCACTGTTTATTTCATTTCATTTGTATATTTGTTTTATTGTATTTGTCAGTTTGTTTTACTTTGTTTCTTTGTTCATGTTCTTACTGGATCTTATCTTATGTATAAAACACTAAAAATGCCTGCACACTGGTGCATTTACAAATTAATGTTTTATATTCATTTCATTAAATATTTATTAACATTTCAGAATATAAAGCAATGTTAATTCAGCTCTTAATTTGTCATATATATATCAAAATATACCAAATCATTCATGTCCCCACGCTTCATGTACGTCGTCACGCGTTGACGTCATCAAATTGCGATCGGCCAAGTTAGTGAGTACCGATCGAGTCATAAAATGTGATTATCGGCCGATACCGATCTCCCGCAGATCGATCGGAGGATCCCTACAGCTTATACCTGCTAAAAACATCTGTTTTGGTTAGCATGTTTATTTTAGATCTGTGTGGCAGCAGCAATATACAGTAAATAAATCAATAAATGCACTGCTCTGTTGTCTCCTCTGAGGTTGGCACTCTAAACAGTGTTCTGTGCTCGTCTGTGCAGCCAAACACAGAACAGTTAGCATGTTTTGCTCAAACTTTCGGCATGGCATTAGAGCTGCTACACCGTTGTCGCTTGCGAAAACACAATGAGGGTGCCTGGGTGGAAACCAGAGCATGTGAGCGAAGCGGAGCGGTGTGACTCCCATGCAAGTGCTCCGTTAATATTCTGCTCACGCTTGCCGTAAACCAATTCCCGCTCAGATCCAGCTCCGTTCTGTAAAGAGCAAATTTGCGTGCATTATATTAGATTATAAATTACTGCTGCCTATATCTAGCCTACATTCTGTAGGTCTACCTATTGTTTCGGGTCAGTTTTTTTTGTTTATAATATTTTAATAGGCCTAAGTGGTGTAGGCTAATATCTTCTGTACTCTGTAGTTCTGTATTTAGGCCTATATACAGCTGTGTGTTAGCTTAGGTCTACAGTTTAACTGAGATTATTTAATAACTACGGAACTCCGAATATAATTCGAATGAACAATTAGTTTCTACGACGTCAGCAGGTTTTATTATTTTTTTTATGTATTATTATTTATTAAGTTTAATCAATAATGATTTTAATAAGTAATTACGAAATATAATATTTCGTTCCACGATTTAGGCCTATAGGGAATGAACAAATTAACGAACGAATGAATTTGTGGCAGCTAAGCCTAATAACCTTAGCCTACCTGTTTATTCACTTATTATGGTAAGTAGCTCACCTTTTGCTGCACCATGTTTGCGTAGCACATCCTCGTGCTTTCTGCACTTGTAAAAAATAAGTGTAATTTTAACTGTAAATTTTTTTTGTAAAAACGCTACGGAAAAAAACTTAATAGGTTAACAGTAAGTTCCCGTACTATATACAGGGAAAAAACTGTAAAATATCTAACCAGACATATCATGTAATTTTACAGTAAAATGCTGTTAATTTGACAGTTTTTAGAAGTAAAAATAACAGATCAATGTATAATTTAGTCAAAAACTGTAAACCGATATTCCCAGAATTCCCTGCATGACACTCCACATTTGAAAGTATTTTGTTTAAATAATCATGTTTTTTTTTTAAAGTTTTTGTTATTAGTTATGTATATTTGGGCTTTATGTTACATCTTCTGTTGTTTAATGAAAGTTTAATGCATTATTTAAGTATCATGTGTGTTACCATGATGGTGTTTTGTGTTTGCATTAATGACTCTGTGCACCTTCTATATATTAGTATATACTTCTGCTTGTGGCGAAACTACTTGTGATGAGCTTTGATTCTTCATGTGGCTTTCTCTTTTACCACCTGCATTATTATGGTGGTTGTCAGTATGTTAAAGGTACAAAACCGACTTTAATAGCAGTGTGCATTGTTGAATTTACTGGTTTACATTCAAATTTTCTTGTTTGTAAATTACAGTTTTATGCTGTAAAATTGACAGGTTTTGGCCGTAAATGTGTTTACTGTTTTTCTGTATTTTTTACAAAATTATTCTGGCAACCACAGCTGCCAAAATTTTTTTGTAAAAACTACAGAATTTTTTTTACAGTGTGTAATCAATATGAATCTGTACTAACTTTAACAGTCTCCCCGCACTCCCTCTCAGTGTCTTCTCCCTGCTCATTCTTAACTTTGATTTTTACTTTACATTAATGTATAAGGCTTGCAACTTCGTTGAAACAATATCTGAACTCCATAACTGCTCTACTATTCTCGATCTCTCCAGATTCTCGATCTCAAGTAAATCACCAAACGGCACTCTGGATTGAGCGAGCGGCGCTGAGCGTTTTGAGCGAGCGGAGCGGAATCTTCAGAAAGGTGCTCTGTGCTCTTAAGGAAATATTACCGCTCCGCTCACATGCTCTGGTGGAAACTCACAGATTAAGGGGCGGTGATATTATAATGAGATCCCTTTGCAATGTCAACAAGGGGCACTCGTTTTCTCAGACGCTTGCAGAAAAAGGCTTCCCAAAACAAAGTTACTGGATTAATCTTTTTCACGTTTCCTTGGTTGGTAGATGCACCAGGGACCTGATTATAGCACTTACAACCTGGAAAAGTCAGATTTTCATGATATGTCACCTTTAATACCACAGGAAAAAAATATATAAAATTGGCCTTTTTCGAAACTGCTGTATCTAAAAAACACAAGGTGGCTGAATTTGCATGTTATCAATTTAATTCGTTTTTAGCACCCCCTCTGAACTGTTAAGCCCCTCCTTAGCACCCCCAACAAATAAAAAGTCTTGATTAAGTGACTCCATCTTGATCTAAAAACCTGAGTTGTCACTGAAAGGTGAGGAGTTTGCATCTATGATCTATGGCAAGCACAGACACATATTTTCTACCTGAATAAATGTACACACACATAGGCTTTTCAATTACTCGAAACAAAAACAAAGCAGACGCGCTTCAACGCGCCGCAGCGGGGAGCTACTTGCGTCCACTGCTAAATGATTTATTTACCTCCAACTCTCTCTGCAAAACAGACAACCCAGGCTGCTCGCGACGTCCTGGAAATTCTCTCTTCCATATTCGTTTCTTTTTCTGTTTCTGCTTCTGCTTTTCGCTGCAGATCAACGCACAGACAACTCGAAAAGCCAGCTGCTTGCTCACCGCCGCGTCAGGGTTCATTGTTTTCGAGAAGAACTCCAGTCTCGCGCATGCTCTTACATCATTTCCTGCATCACTTCCCGTGTGCGTTCTTCTTCTTCTTGTTTAATGGCGGATAACTCCTTAGGAGCATTATCGCCACCTATTGTACTGGGTGTCAAGTAAATTTACATAGGCGATGAGTCTGAAATTTGAGAAGGGGAAGGATTGAGAAAAAAAAATAAAAATTTGGTGGATGTTTCATATTCTCTCCAATCTATGGAGCACTCCGATCACATGCTCATGCTGGCTCTGCGTGTTCAGCTCCTCTAACACTCACAATTAGCTCTTCATGCCCCAGATTAGGTAGAATACGCCCATCCACACATATGTGACCACAAAACCAATCTTAAGTGTCAAATTTTCAAAATTGAGATTTAGACATAATCTGAAAGCTGAATAATTAAGATTTCCATTGATGCATGGTTTGTTAGGATAGGACAATATTTGGCCGAGATACAACTATTTGGAATCTGAGGGTGCAAAATTAAAAAAATAATAAAAAATTGGAAAATTGCCTTTAAAGCTGTCCAAATGAAGTTCTTAGCAATGCATATTACCAGTGTTGGGGAAAGTTACTTTTAAAAGTAATGCATTACAATATTGCGTTACTCCATAGTAGTAGTAGTAGTATACTTTATTGTCCTCAAGAGGAAAATTGTTATGGACTACATGTTGTTGCAGACATACAATAAACATATAAAAAACAAAATTAAATAAAATCATGAAAATAAAATCAAGATGAACTCTTGTTGTACAACCGCACCGATACAGGTACAAAGGAATTCTTATATTGATTTAACTTACACATTGGGATTCTATATCTTCTACCAGAGGGAAGTAGTTCATATTGTAAATACAAGAAATGAGTTTGATCACCAAGAATCCTCTCTACCTGATTAAGAACACATTCCTCATATAAAACTTGAAGGTTACATCTTCTGATTTCTCTCAGCATGGGGACAGGAGAGCTGTCAATCAATAAATTGAAAAAAAAGTAACTTGCATCACTTATTTGAAAAAGTAACTCAGTTATTCTCTTGTAAATTAAAAAGTAATGCGTTACTTTACTAGTTACTTGAAAATAGTAATCTGATTACGTAACTCGCGTTACTTGTAATGCGTTACCCCCAACACTGCATATTACTAATCAAAAATTAAGTTTTCATATATTAACAGTAGGAAATTCACAAAATATCTTCATGAAACATGATCTTTACTTAATATCCTAATGATTTTTGGCATAAAAGAAAAATCTATAATTGTGACCCATACAATGTATTTTTTTAGCTATTGCTACAAATATCCCCCAGCGACTTAAGACTGCTTTTGTGCTCCAGGGTCACATATTATAATCTACATCCTAAACCTGATTCATATATATATATATATATATATACTTTTATTTATTTAATTAGTGCTCTGTATACCTGTCTATCCATTAAACCTTTTCCTAAAATATCTTCATGTGTCATTCTTTCCTCCCCAAAGTGACTAAATAATATGTCAGGATATACACTATATTTACCACACCTAAAAAGCACATGATTTACATTTTCAGATACACCACATACATCGCATAACCCATTTTCATGTAAACCTGCCAGTGTTGATTTCTCTTGTGTGCATTTTGTTGTGAAAAATAGTTTGTAGTCAGTGTATTAAGCGAGGTACGAAGAATGGACTCCAGGGGCCCGTTCTTCGTACGTCGCTAACTCAGTTAGCTGGATTTGATTGTTGATGATTTGGCATGATCTTGGATTGGTTGGTTCTTCGAAGAAGTTGCTGTCATAGCAATACTGATACTTAAAATCTGTCCCAGCCACTACTACTTTATTACAAGAGTACCCACTGATCCAGGGACAGTAATTTACAATAATAATAATTAAAAAATTAATAAAAACAATAGTATAATGTTGTGTAGTCATCATCTATAACACTATAGACACAGCCAGGTTTACTCATTGAAAAATGTATTCGTGATGAAATAATTACTTTATAATTGTACATCTGCCCTTTTCGGGGAACACGAGAACACGCACTAATCTTAGACAACTTAATCCAGATATTTTAATCAAATCTGTAAATTCGTTTGAAGAACCAAATTAGCCAGAGATCAGTTATCATGATTACTAGATCTGGGGCACGTTTTGCTACGGTTTCCGGGTTGAACCTAATACTCACAATAAAAATAATAAGGTCATATAGATCATAACACAGTCTCGGAGGTAAGAAGTGGATTATCCTTCACCTGAAATGTTTGTCTTTTCATCCTGAAATGCGAGGCAAATGTTGGATCACAATAATTAGGAACCACAGTTTCCACAAATCCTTTCACTCGATTGGGATGTTCTCTTTTATTCTAGATGGCAAGGGCAGTGACTGTTACATCGAGCGTATTTTGCAGTATTAAACACGTATTTATACCGATTTCATCAGGCTCCGAAAATTCTTCAAACAGAACACAAAGAATGGCCTTCTCAGCTGCCATAGCTGCAACTCTTGCGTCATCAGAACAGGGTGTCCGACACACCACCGTTTCCGTTTAAAAAACGTTTTGCACCGTTTTGTCGGGGCTGAACGCAGCCCTGGAATCTTTCACCACGATCAGCAATGCAGCGATTGGCTGGCGTCAAAACAGCAACGTAATGACATCATAATTAAAAAAGACACCTGACGAAAAACTTGACAAATTAAGGACCTTTATAAGGAAACAGCCAAGCAAAGAAACCTAGACAAATGTTATAATAGATAAACAAAATGTGCACTGTTTTTATTTTATTATTATTCCCAATTATTTATATTCACAAGTTCTTGTAGACTATTTATACAGGCTTTACATTTTAATGTAAATTCATTTAATTGAATCTTTGAAACAGATTTGTTACATGACAGCATTAATTAAAGTCAAGATCAAGTTATCTGAATCTCCTGCGTTCCATCAAGCCACTCCCATAATAGCTGTCACCACTCAAATTAAAGGGCACCTATTATGCCCCTTTTACAAGATGTAATATAAGTCTCTGGTGTCCCCAGAATGTGTCTGTTAAGTTTCGGCTCAAAATACCCCACAGATCATTTATTTTATCATTTTGAAAATGCCTATTTTGAGTGGAAGCAGAAACAGGCTGTTTTAGTGCATGTTTCTTTAAATGCAAATGAGCTGCTGCTCCCCGCCCCCTTTTCCAGAATAGAGCTGTCTTTACAGCTTTTAACTTCTAAAAAACATCTGTATGGTTTTGATTATCATGTCTATTGTGCTGAAATCATGCATTTTAAAGCCATATTATTTTAAACTTCTGATATACATTTTTCTGAGCACACAAATCTGAAGCACACCACAGAAAGCGTGCTGTCACACATCATGTGTTCTCTTTCACACACACGTTTATGTTAAAAACACGCATAAGTTACAAAACACAGTCAGTTATATCTGTGAAGTTCCACAGCTGGGGAAAAAATCGCATGCTTATATTAGATCTGTGTATTAAGTGACAGCAGCATAATATCAAAGACTATAAAAATACAAAGACTGTTCACTCCTATACTTATGAATGGGAGAAACTGCAACGCGCAATATGGTGGGATAGTCCCACCTTCTAAATGAAAGAGCCAATCGTTGATTGGTAAAGTCATTGCGTCACTGCAGCGGCCGTTAGAAGCTCCGGTTCCCATAGAAACCAGAGGCTAGAGCAGCCGATGCACATGCGCAGTCATGAGCGCGTTGGAACTACGCATGCGTATTGGCTAGTCTAGCCTGAAAAATAGGCTTTTTAAACGTTATTTGAGCATAAGAAACAACATTCATGGGGCAGTTCTGTCACGAATCCGGTCTATAAACTTCCGTTCACTCACCACCAGAGGTCTCACACTACACTCATCTTGTTACACATTACCCTGGACTACATTTCCCATGCTCCATTGCACTAATCACAAGCTCACCTGAAACCAATCACACACAGCCGCTACCAATAACACACACTATATAAATCAGTCTCACACCACCATTCAAGGCCGAGTATTGTTTAGCGTGTATCACTTTTTCATAGTCTTGCCTGTTTTCCTGGTTCCTGCTTCTTGCCACGTATCTTGGATTAACCCTTTGCTTGACTATTTATACAGGCTTTACATTTTAATGTAAATTCATTTAATTGAATCTTTGAAACAGATTTGTTACATGACAGCATTAATTAAAGTCAAGATCAAGTTATCTGAATCTCCTGCGTTCCATCAAGCCACTCCCATAATAGCTGTCACCACTCAAATTAAAGGGCACCTATTATGCCCCTTTTACAAGATGTAATATAAGTCTCTGGTGTCCCCAGAATGTGTCTGTTAAGTTTCGGCTCAAAATACCCCACAGATCATTTATTTTATCATTTTGAAAATGCCTATTTTGAGTGGAAGCAGAAACAGGCTGTTTTAGTGCATGTTTCTTTAAATGCAAATGAGCTGCTGCTCCCTGCCCCCTTTTCCAGAATAGAGCTGTCTTTACAGCTTTTAACTTCTAAAAAACATCTGTATGGTTTTGATTATCATGTCTATTGTGCTGAAATCATGCATTTTAAAGCCATATTATTTTAAACTTCTGATATACATTTTTCTGAGCACACAAATCTGAAGCACACCACAGAAAGCGTGCTGTCACACATCATGTGTTCTCTTTCACACACACGTTTATGTTAAAAACACGCATAAGTTACAAAACACAGTCAGTTATATCTGTGAAGTTCCACAGCTGGGGAAAAAATCGCATGCTTATATTAGATCTGTGTATTAAGTGACAGCAGCATAATATCAAAGACTATAAAAATACAAAGACTGTTCACTCCTATACTTATGAATGGGAGAAACTGCAACGCGCAATATGGTGGGATAGTCCCACCTTCTAAATGAAAGAGCCAATCGTTGATTGGTAAAGTCATTGCGTCACTGCAGCGGCCGTTAGAAGCTCCGGTTCCCATAGAAACCAGAGGCTAGAGCAGCCGATGCACATGCGCAGTCATGAGCGCGTTGGAACTACGCATGCGTATTGGCTAGTCTAGCCTGAAAAATAGGCTTTTTAAACGTTATTTGAGCAT